TCAAGATGGATCAAGTTTTAGAGACTAGAGTTCATAAGCATAGCGAGCAAGAATAATTTCAAGAATTGTCACCAAATAAAGGTAGAGATAGGAACTAACAAGATTACCATCTTGTCAAAACGGCTCAAGAAAATTCAAGAAACAAGAATTAAGATCGTCTCTTGCATAACCCCATCACTTCTCTCACCACAGTCCCAAAGTCCATTTTATTTAAAGTTTTTTTATTTTTTGCCCCATGTATTTCATTAAAACTTAGGCTCTGATACCACAAAATCTATCATACCACAAAATCTATCATGCCTCAAAACCAGGAGCAAAATAGACACTAAACACCTATGAGTGGGACCCATAAGCGTACAAGGCTCAAAATCAGTTTAATATATTATGCAATAATCTATATTTTCTAATAGTCCACTAAAATCCATAAAAAGAAATAACTTACATAATCTAAAATCTAATTTCAATCCACTAATAAGTAAACTAGTCAACTAGCTCGCCACTCGCCCTTATCCTAAAGACTTAAGTCTAGTTACCTAAAATGGTGAACAAGAAGAAAAATGTGAGATAATCTCAGTAAGTAAATTATGGGTAGCCACACTTTAATTTAGAAGAAAGCATGATGGATATAGAACATCAAATAGGGCTTCTAGTTTCAATCCTATAATGCATAATAAAAAAAAAAAAAAAAATCTTTTAGTGGTCTCCTTATTTAGTCATGGCTAGTGTTTACACCCTTACTAGCAAGACAATAAACATAGCCAGTTTTTATACTCCCATTGGCAGGATAGCAGGAATTATCAGTGTTTACACTATCACTGGCAGGATAACAGGATTAAACAATGTTTACACTACCACTGACAAGATAATAGGAATTCCCAATGTTTACACTCCCACTGGCAAGATAACAAGATTGAACAGTGTTTACACTCCCATTGGGAGGATAACAGGAATAACAATAAAATTGGAGACAAACAATGTAGGCATTTAAACATGGAACATAATTAAGATTGTTTTAGGCATTTAAACAGGAAAGTGAAAAGATAACCCTGATTGTTTCAACAAGTATATCTCATAAAAAAAATGCTCAAGTTTTGATAAATAACAATTATGAAACTTAATATCAAAGCATGCCATGCTTATATCAACATAAATCAAGTTAGATCCTACCACCACCTCTCAAAACAGTTCAGAAATATACTTTTAAAGCCTTAGTTTAGAACCATTGGCAAAACTGAAAATTTGCTTACCTCACTTTGTAGAAATTCCTTAAGAACCAAGAATTCGGATATCAAAAATGTTTAAGAACCATAGATTAAAGACAAGTAATAGAGCTAAGGACTGTAAAAAAATTTGGACACTAGATCAGCAAGAACTTGAGGGCAAGTTTTGGTCAAATTCTAAACTGGAACTTCCAATAGAATTTGCACCGAGAAATTGACCAAGATGGGCTAAATTGTTAACAGACCAATTTAGCCCTATGTCTAAACTTTCAACAGGGTCAAGAATCATAGATTAAAGACAAATAATAGAGCTAAGGACTGTAAAAAATTTGGACACTAGATCAACAACAACTTTAGGGCAAGTTCTAGTCAAATTTTAAACTGGAACTTCTAATAGAATTTACACCAAGAAATTGACCAAAATGGGCTAAATTGTTAATAAACCAATGTAGCCCTATGTCTTAACTTTCAACAAGGTCAAGAATCACCTCAATCCAAAATATATAGAGGAATTTATGGCCAGATTACTAACCCAAAAGAAAAATAATTAAGAAAATTTGGTTTAAGAAGGGTTTTTG